TCACTAGTATACATACCTATATTGTTTTTAAGAAATAAAATATGTTATTAACATTATGAAAAACATTGCTCATTGATATTTTAGCATATAAAAAATTAACTTATATTTCTTTTTTTTCTCGCAATATTGTAGATACAAAATCATGTTTAACACAATGAAAATATATCACATTCGGTGAAAAACATCACATCCGGAAACGACCGGATACGATTTTTACAACAGGAACATTGACTACGTGACTTTGTTCACAACTAAAATTAAATTAATTTTAAACTGGTACCGTGTTTATAAACATGAAACGCGTAAGTAATTAATAATAGGTGAGCTAAATTATTATATGTCAAAATTTATCATTACATTTTCTATCAATAGTAAATCACTATGATTTATGAAGGTCTAGCGCAGTGGTCTGAGTGGTGTGTTAAGTCGGTCGTAGGTTCAATACTCATCCTCTTGCCAAACTTATTTTAAATAATATGGTCTTATTTTAAATAAAACTATCTTTTCGGTTTTTTTCGCGGATTAAATATAACTTTTGGTTCTCAATGTTTGAATGGTTTACAGCAATCATGGTCACGGGAGAGATAAAACTTTAGACGTCTCAATAGTATTATATAGCTATTACAGACGGTGCCTAATGTGTCAAATGTCAAATATTTGATTAAATCTTTGAAAGTATTATAGTCTTATTTTACTTAAATTTTTGTTTATAATGCAACACCTTATCAGATAGCTGTATTTGTCATTGTATGAACAATACAAATATTTTGGTATAAATATATACTAAAAAGGTTTCTTTCAGTCATTATCTATACATATAATAAAATTCAAACTAAGTTGAATCTGTACATTAAATATTTTTTGGAAAATCTAATTGAAATAGACATTTTCGATACAGAGTCCGAATCTATAGTTTTTAGAATTTTTGTCTGTCTGTCTGTTACCGCATCACGAGAAAACCACAGGACAGATTTTGATGAAATTTGGTATGATGGTAGCTGGTTATCCGGGTCAACATATAGGATACTTTTTACCGCGGGAAAATGTCTCATTTTTTAGAAAAAATACAAAAACTGCATTGTAAGAGTATACTAATATGTAAAACCTAAGAATTTGGGTTTTGGTCATCTGAACGCAGGTGGAGCCGCGGGCAATGCTAGTCACATATAAAAGTATATTAGTCAGAAAGTATCAGTACAGTATAAGTAGAATAATTATTAGGTTTTCTTACTCTATGTTATACGTTTCACTTCACTGTTTGGATTTTCGCAAGGTGTATACAGAGTGATAACAAATGACAGTATACATGAGTCATATTTACAGAGGAATAAAGTGACACACTATTTATCAAAGTCGATCCAAGGCAAAGCAAATCTATTCATAATTATTATTGATATAGAAAATGACTTACAACATTTGTTTATTTTTCCGATTTCCTGTCAAAGAAAATTATACGGATATCGCAGTTTAAACTAGTAAAATCGATCCTCGTGACCGAAAAATTAGTGACAAAAAGTATACAGACAAACATGAAACCTTCTCATTTTTTCAAAGTTAGTTAAAATTTACTAAATAACATGTAATTGCCGTATTCTTGTTTAATTACTCAATAGCTCTATTCAAATTGTTTTTAAATTAGATGATATTTATAAAACCTAAAATTCTCCAGCCATAAGAATTCTCTACATTATTGCGGCAAGTCGTAAACAAAGCATTTAAGTATTTCACTGAATTGCTTCGAGAGAGGAAACGGTGCATGCCAATATTTTATTTCCATTGTAATATACACTTGCGTCACTAATATGAATACAATTGTACCGAATTTACTAACTATTTGAAATTTATCGCCTAACGACTCCCCCTTGCTCCGCTTATGGGATTAAAATTCAAAATAATTTATCTATACATATAATTCTAATTGAGTCGAATCTGTACATTAAATATTTTTTGGAAAATCTTATTGAAATAGTTATAATTATCGATTCAGAGGCCGAATCTACAGTTTTTAGAATTTTTCTCTTTCTGTCTGGGAACAAACACATCACGAGAAAACCACTGGACAGATATTGATGAAATTTGATTTGATGATAGCTGGGTATCCGGATCAACATATAGGATAGTTTTTACTGCGGGAAAATATCTCATTTCTGACAAATCTATATTAAACGTTAAATTGTAACTAATATAAAATTATTACAATTTTTCCACTAGTTCGGAAAAAACCTTAGTCCTAAGAAAACTAATGCAAGAAGCTCAGACGAAAATTAACAAAATAATACAAGGGAGTGCCTTTGGGAGCACAATTTTTTCCTGTAAGTACGAGATAATGCTTGTTACTCAGGAAAAGAACAATAAAATCAAGAATTGGCAATGACACCGTGTAACATACACAAAATAACAAATAACCGCCTCCTTTCAAGTCAGTGAAAAATAGTAGACTATCCAAATGTTGCTATTGATTGGTTTTTTGATATTATTTCCCATCACATACTTAGTTTCGTGCGAATATTTGACAATTTCTATATATAAATAGGCAAAGACAAAACAGTTCAGTTATTCTCTGTTTGTCAACCAAGTTTCTTTTGTTTTGTTCAGTAGCTATTGACGAGCTATAGTTACTGCTAAAAGTTAAAAATGCTCAAATGCGAGTCGGACTCGCACATGAAGGGTTCCGTACTATAATCCATTTTTTTTAATTTGCATGGCAGCCTTTTTGAAATTCGCCATCTTTGTTTTTTATTAATTGTTGATATAGTGGCAACAGAAATATATATTTCACATTCTTTGTGAAAATTTCATCTCTCTACCTATTACGGTTAGTGAGATACAGCCCTCTAACAGAGGGACGGACGGACGGACAGTGGATGCTTAGTAATAGGGTTCTAATGAATGTAATGGTCGAATTACGACGACTTGGTGAACATTAATTTAAATAAAACTATTTTTCGCTTTTCTCGTGGTTTTAATTTGAGCTTTTATTTCCCGCGACGTTTCGAATGCTTTACAGCAATAAACACCATCTGTAATAACAATGACTTTTGAGACGAAAAAACCTTAGTCTTTCCCGTCGGTGTGTTTTCTGTAAAGTGTAAAAGCATTCGAAACGACGGTGGGAAAATCAAAACAAAACAGTGAAGAAATCCTAAGACTTATTTTCTTTAAAAGATGGGTTAAAATCAATCCAGCAATAGACAGAAAACAGAAATATAAACGTTAAAAAAGATTTGCATTAGAAAAGAACAAGATATTAATTGCAATTTTTCTCCTTGTACAAAGATAGTTAACATCTACAAACGACGCGACGACCCTATTTGCTATGCCAGCGTTTGCGGGTTCGTGTCCCGCTGGGGGCATACATTTGTACGACAAGCACAAATGTTTGTACCCAGTCATGGGTATTTATATTTATAATATGAATGTATTTAAAGTTGTATATGTGTAGTATATCAACTATCTGGTATTTATAACACAGACCTCGTAGCTTACCATGAAACTAGATGGTGCTGTGTTAATGCCCCAACATATTTATTTTATTTATATATTTATCTAAAGATTGATAGCATTCCAACCTATCGCAAGCTCTGTGTGGTCATCAACACTATTCCTTTATACTATCATAACATAATCGGGCCGTTTGTTTGTGAAATTGTATTTTCGTATTATTACTCATTCAATTTAAGTGGCTAGTATCGATAAACGATTTCTAACTCCGCGTCATTAGGAACCTTGGCTCAAATATTACTGATCAGTAATATTTAGTACTATTTTTATTACAGTTTATAGGTGTTGAGGAGGTCACGGGTTCGAATCTATTGTGAAAAATAATAGGAAGGAAAAACTCAGTCAAAGTGAGTGCCATGGTCCGAAAAAACTCATAGCTTTTTATTAGCTGCCTTCCAGTGACATTACAATTATTTTTATTTTGAGAGCATTTAAAATATGTAAGCATTGAAGTCAGGCATGTTAGATGAAATATAATATTAGTTAGAATGCTGGAATAAGATAACAGAACGTTTTTTATACATATATAGGTACGTTCCTACCGATACCGATTTTTTAATATACGTACGTATATGAAAAATCTTATGCTTATATGGAAACAAGCAAAACCCGCGGCTTCGCTCGCGCTAAAACTAACAACAACACAAAAACTACAAAAACAACTAACAAAAAAAACTAAAAAGGTAAGTTTCCTAAAAACTTTCATCCCCTATTTTACCCTCTTATGGGATGAATTTCGAAAAATGCTAAAACATGTATTTATTTCATTGTATTGAAGAGCATTATTACTAAGTTTCAAGTAATTCTGATCATAAATATTTTTTTGGGTTGTATAAAAACGTGTTTCCCCGTGAGAATGAGACAATCTCCCGCTGTAAAAGTAGCCTATGTCACTCTCCAGCCCTCCTACTATTTCCACACAAAAAATCAAACCAGTTCATCACTCCGTTTTAAGTAGGTCACATACGTATATGTACGTATGTTTCATTTTATTTTTCTTTAAATCACTAACTAATGAGGGCTACCGCGCTTGAATCGCCGCGAGTGAGGTTTCTTGAACTGTTAAATCACACTGGATGTTTACTGTTTGAGAGCTTTTCATTGCGGATTTTTATTACTTATTTATGATTATTGTAATCATTGTGCCATTCCCGATCAATTATATAGTTCGACTCAACAAATGTTATTGATTTAAAGGAAGAGTTAAGAAAAAGTCAATATATTATTTATTTGTTTGTTATTAATTATTTAAAATCCTGATAGAACTGATTTCGCGCTAACAATTATTATTATTATTATTGTAAAATAATTTAATGAGCCTCACTAACAAATACTTTTTCAACGACAGCGATAGGACCTCACACGCCAGTGGCGCTAACTGGTGCCACAAGAAACCATAGTTCTCATTGAAATAAAACTACTAACTTAAAAAATTTATTGCTGATGCTATTTCCCTAAGTTTTGTAAGTTTGATCTCTTTTTGCTAAGTTATATTATTAATCTAACTTACCTCCATCAGTAAAGAAAGCCGAGTGTCTATTAGGGCTGGACGGTACAGATGCTGATGCTGAAGTCAGAAAAGCACGTTTGACTCTGGTCCATTTCGAGTCTCGAGGTGGTCTGTTTTGGGGTGGCCTGGCCCCAAGTTCCAAAGACCGCTGCTTGCGAAGAAGTGGATGAGAGCCTTCGGATTCTAAGATAAAGCAGACGCTACTTGAATATAAAGTTTTATATACTTAATGTGTGCAAGTATTTGTTGGTTATTGCCTATTTGAGAAATTGAAAGTGCTTTTTTTCTATAAATATTTTTGTATGACCTCAAAGTTCACGAATTGAAATTAATACTAGGTCTGTAGATTGTTGGATCATGTATCTAAAATAAGATTAGTGTTTTTATTCCTGTGTATCATGTCAGGATGGCCGAGCGGTCTAAGGCGCTGCGTTCAGGTCGCAGTCCACTTCTGTGGGCGTGGGTTCGAATCCCACTTCTGACAAGTTTTATTTTTATATTTCCATAAATTGAACTAGTATAGAATGAATAATAAATTAAAAACAATTCATACCAAGTTCTTCAGAAGATGGTATAGTCAATGTAAGAGCAGGCGGCGCATCACTATCTCCACCATCACTAAAAGACCGTCTTCTAGAAGGCACCACATCTGGAGATCCCTTGGGAAGCCTGGTCTTTTTCTTGACAGATTCACGACGAGTTTGAATTATATCACGCATTTTGATCCACGCACTCTTGTGCAGTTTGTTCGGTGATGGAGATGTGGAACTATCATCCTGTCGATTTCATTATTTTAGTAAATAAAATGTTAAGGAATTTAGAACCAAGGGGTATATTGTAGGGATACATCCGATACTGATACCGATACCGATATGTCGGCGATATTAGTTTACGCTGATACATTTTTAATAATTTAAAGTTAGGTACGAATTTGTGTTTCATAAAAATCTCATAAATGTCAATTTTAAATATTAATTTCTAATCTGAACGTTATTATTAAATTGTTCCGTTAAATTATAATTTTCAAACAATTTATTGATATTTTGTTAAATGAAATTTCCAAACGCCAGTTAAGATTCTAAATAAATATATTTTTTAAAGTAAATAATGCCGTCTGTTTGTGTGTTTTCTGTCCTAAACCCACATTTTTTTTATTTTTATACCTTTTCAAGCCTGTAGTGTCCGCATCGGTATCGGTATCTCGCGTTATCAAGACGAGTTTAACGACGCGGACGTATGAATTATTAAAAAAATTTAATGGCTAAGCCGCTTAGTAATTAAGAGGGAACATAGAGTCGAACATGCTTACGTACATACAGGTCAAACACATAGGTAACCCTCCTTTGGGCTTCGCCGTAATCGGGTAAAAAGGAGCTCAAAGTTTTCTCTTAATTTATTAATATATATTTTACATGTACCTATTAATACATATTTTTGTTTATTATAGTTAAGATTTATGAATGTCTACCTGCATTGGCGCTTGAAGATATGCACTGTCTTGTTCCTCGCTACGTATACAACTTCGTCGACGTAATTCTGGAACAATATATTATAGTTGATCTTTTCATGTTTTTTACTCTTTTCGGATTTTTTCGCAGATTTATTTTTATTTTTGGTTCTCAGAGGTAGTTTCTCCATGGCCATGATTGCTGTAAAGCATTTGAAATGTCGGGAACTAAAAATCAAAATAAATGCGCGAAAAAATCCGGAAGCATAGTTAAAATGTCAAATATTCGCGTAAATCTAAGAAAGTATTATTTTTGTTATATATGTACATACCTACACATATTGCTATAGTTATACGAAAATATATTGGCATTTAAATTACAGAATGTAAATACTTAACTGTTGGTGCATAATGGGGATGCGCATACGCATTCTTGCACTATAAATAGAATCCTATCCTCAAGTGCATGCATACATTACTTATACTTAGCGATATTAAGAAATACAAAAACGATTTAATGCATGGTCCTTTCAAGTAAAAATCTATATTCTATACTAATTATTGATATACCTATGTATAAAAACATAGATACACTTTTCCTAACAAATATCTTTTCAAAAAGTGGCGTCGACATGTGACCTCATTAAGTCACACCAACCAAAATATTATGTAATTTTACAACTTTACACCTGTGTTAGTTACGAATACCTTGGTCTATCCTCAATTCTTCACATGATGAGTTGGGGGTCAACGATATGACACTTCCCGGGGTCAGACTAGCGGAGTCCCTGTGTTCAGGGTTGGGAAGTGAACCCGGGCTCGAGCCTGCTAATGCAACAGCGCCCACCATGGCGCCTGCCGCCACGGCCGCCGTACCACCTATAGTCGCGGGCGGCCATTGGGCTTTTTCCCATCTACAAAATATGTTATCTAGGTAAAATCACAGTCTACTTATTAATACAATCGTCTAAGGAACTGACGAACGTGTGTAACATGGCTTTCATACGGAAACGCGGAAGAGCGCATCTTATTATCATATTATATACGGGAAACGGCGATAACTTTCTATAACACGACGCTTACCATCGAAACACTTCACCATGAAAATTGGCAGTTTTTATTTGATAGCACATTTATCAACATCAAAGGCTATGTAAGGATTTTTATACCAGTTTTGAGCCTTCCGTGAGGAAAACCTTATAATTATTTTGTGTTTTAAGTTGAAAATGACTTCAAACTGATAATTTAACAGATTTTTATGCGAGCACCCTTAATTTACTAAAAATATCATAGCAATTGGTTCATAATTCTTGTAGACAACAAAAATAAAACAAGAATTTAGTACCTACCTCCTCATTTAAAATCGATCATAAATGCTTGTTATTAAGATTTTTAAAATCGATGAGATTACTACTAAAAACAAAACAAATTATTTGTAGCTCCTGTTGAAAGTAAATAAATAACAGTAACGTTTCAAAAATATTAATCTATACATATAATAAAATTCTAACTGAGTCGAATCTGTACGTTAAATATTTTTGGAAAATCTTATTGAAATAGTCATTATTATCGATATCGGCCAAATCTATAGTTTTTAGAATTTTTGTCTCTCTGTCTCTGTCAAATTCATGATATACAGCCTGGTGACAGTCAGACAGACAGACAGACGGACGGACAGCGGAGTCTTAGTAATAGGGTCCCGTTTTACCCTTTGGGTATGGAACCCTAAAAATTGACACCTCACATATTTCAATAGTTTAAACACTTGTCATATATTAAAAGCTTAAACAAAAATCTAACTTCAACCTAACTTAAATACATATTACATACATATTATTATATTAAATACTTAATTACATACATATGTACATAGAATTCATTCGATATTCTACAAAAATAACTAAAACGTGCAAATTGTTTTACAAGAACCCTTACAATAGCTATGGTAAAAGTATCCATTTTAATTCAAAATTAATAAAACCTTAATCTACCGTCTATATAAAATATATAAATAAATGTTCATATGTGTGTCCTCTATGGATCCTAAACCATTGATTCGATTGTGATGAAACTCTGGTGGGTCATTTTAAACGCCTGCGAAGATTCTTGGCTCAAAAAAAAGATTTTTCTTTGGACGTTCTGTATTTTTAATTACGGTTTATATCAAATAAACAATAATTCAAAATTCTTAAAATTTATATCTAAAAACTTTGTTATCCTAAAATACTAATAATATAATAAGCTAAAAGTTTAAGTTGATATTTTATCAAAATATAGTCATAGCTTAATATTAGTGTTACTGCTAATAATGCTAATAATGAATGATTTATAGATGCAATGAGATCGTCAGAAATCTTGACATCCCGAAATGTATCGAATGTATTTTGTAATCCCGAAATGTTTCTCAAAATGTTGTAAGCGAATACATATCGTATCGCGCTTGAATATCGCAATATTATAAATGTGAAATTTTATTAGAACACTAGGTTTAAACATAAAAATCAAATTGAATAAAAACCTTACTTGAAAGCCGCCTTGACTCTGGTCCAGTTAGACACTTTAGATTTCTCAACTTCTTTCGAGAAAATCCCATCAGATCTTCGTCTTAACGGGGTTCCCGGGGATACGTCACTTTCTTCTCCACCCGCTGACCTTGATCTCTGCTTTCTTAATAAAGAACCGCGAAACCTAGAACCAGACTTCCATCTAGAACCTGATCGTTTCATACTTCGCCCCCCAACCACTACAGCATCGAAAATTGCTTGGCCGTATTCACATTCAAATTCGGCATCCAATGCTTCATTTATTAACTCTAACTCTTTAGCCTCATCTTTTAACCTTTCATTTTCTTCATCAATCTTTTTATGTGCATTATGGAGACGCTTCAAATGATTTACATCTCGTAATCGCCTTAGGAGACGAGCATTATGTTCTTTCAAAGTTACAAATTGGTCTAATAACTCAAGTAATTTATCAAGTTGGTCTAAAGTCTCTATAGTATCTTTTGTTCGTGATGCCAGTTCTTTGCCACGTTTGGATATCGGGTCATCTTGATTTTTTAATCTTTGGATCATGCTTTCACATAATGCTTCGGGATCTGTTGTATCACCGTCTTGTACATTCCAAGATTCGTCAGGTGTGGGTCCTGCAGTACAGGGGGAAGAACCTTCTGCATCAGATGGTGTTTGAGGCGATTTAACAGACAACGTGGCCGGGGGTTCACCCCTACGCCTTTTATGTAAAGAAGCACCAATCGGAGGAAGTTCAGACAAATCTTTTGATTCTTTTCTTTCTGATTTTAGTACCTTCCCTTCTTCCGTTTGAATGCTATCAATGACGTCACTGATTTCTTTCGCTGACGTCATTTTACAAGGAACAGATGATACTTAAGTTATTTTAAAATATAAATAAACGCACGTGTATCATTCGCCGAACAGAACGATGGAATCCTATCGGAATGCATCTTTTGTATGGACAAAGTAACTAAATCCTTTATAACTATTTTGTCACTACTTTAACGTTAGAGATAATTATTTTTCGAATTTATGCACACCACATTTATTCAACTAACTAGATCTTATTTTATTCCTAGACACGCTCACATTCTAGTATTACACAAATAAACCAAGAAACATAATCACTGTATCACTATTTACCAATTCACTTCACATAAATTCCTTTAATGTTCAAAGTAGCATCCCTAACCAAATATTCTGTAAGTAATTTATTATTATATATAGAACAATTTCATTAAATCATAGTTTTGGGATTTTAATCGATGATATTACTTTTCCGCCCAGTGCGCGGGCGCATACCGTGAGGCGGGCGGGCACGAACTGCTACGGAAACAGACGAATGTTTCCGAATTATTTTTAACTCACACTTTCTCTGCTGTATCTTAAAGGAAAATAGTCCTTATGTATATGAAACAAAGAGTTTTCTAATTAACAAACTATATTATAAATACGTTCTTATTGCTCAGGACCGAGATCCCATTAACCTATATTTTTAATGGAAATAAATGAACATTTTATGTCACTACCTTGTACGTGGTTAAGAAACGATTTTTTTCAGGAAGTTCTCTGTAACACTTTAACACTTCCGATGACGTCATACATAAAATTTAAAACATCATTAATTATATGTAATTTACAAGTTAAAAAGTGGGTCGCTTTATATTAGTGTGGTGTGTAGTAAATGCTAGAATAGACATAAGTTAAAACTAAATCTATACAGATAAAATTGAAGTGTCTGTTTGTAATATCAAAATAACAGCTTTTTACTAATGCATATGAAAATATAAACGGTAGGTACTTATAAGAAAAACACAATTTGTAACATTTTTGTGGGTCTGTCTGTTTGTTCCGACTAATCTCCGAAACTGCTGGATTTTGACGGAGCTTTAACTGGCAGATACCTGATTTTATAAAGAATAAGTTAGGTTACTTAAAAGTAATTAACAAGAATTTTAGAAAGAGAATTACGGTTACCCTAAAAAAACTTACCTAGGGACGCACCCAAGCGAAGCAAGGGTAAGTCGTTAGTTGAATAGTATAATGAGTTGTTATAACATGTTGGGTTAGCTCTGATATCTCAAAAAAAATTTCTATGCTCATCAGAGATAATAATAATTCAGTACTAAAGAACAGAGGTCCCATAAATGGGTTCTAACTCAAATCGTATATGAATTTCAAGAAAAAAACAGAGGAATATTTTTTTAAGGTCATTTTCATGTCGGTGTACACTTTTAGTTAAAAAGTGATTATTTTTGATTTCATTTACACGTTTGGGACTAACAGGAGTTTTAATTTACACTCAAATCCGTTTACCCATTACAAGTAAAAGAAACAAACATGTTTTTTTATATTTATTATAATTGTGAGAAATATAATAAAAAAGTATCTATATTTAATAAATTATAACCTCCTTTAATATTTAAAGTAAAATAATTTATTGGCCACAAATAAAATGAAATTCTAAATGAATAAAAAAATAATTCTCATTTAAACGAAGAAATTTCTGTTGTCATGTTGTAGGTCGTGAATTTGTAGAATTTTTACATATTTTTTTTCAAAATTTTCATAATTGTTTCTAAATGTGTAAAATAATTTACTTATTTAGGTAAATTTCGGTAAGTTTTTTTATCATATTTTTCTAACTTTACTTTAAAATCTTTAAATCGTTTGGTGGGTGTACATACATTATTTCTTCTTAAGTTGTATATAAATATATTCTATTCTAATAAAATTATATGAATCAGGTGCTTTTTCATTAGCTAGCTTTTTCATCAACACACATTTTCGAAATAACATATTAAAATAGAAAGAAAGTGTCTTTTTAAATCTTTTTATCTTTACATAACGAAACCCACTACTAATGTATAATAATGTATAAGTTATGCTTACAATTGTGCCTTTGGCCCAATTTACGCTCTTATTTTTGCACCCTTAAAAACTTAAAACTAACATCACTTATTATATATCGTTTACTAAATTGGATTAAAACAAAACTATGTCCCCCTCATCCCAGGCGACATGCGACGAATTATCACAATTTTTGAGGGATCAAAGAATAATAACCAACTATATTAGTAACAGTATTAGTAAAAGTTTAGTATTGTAAAGTAAACGTACTATATGTAACTAAGTCGTACCTTGACTGCTCTGGGGCAAGGCTTGTCAAAAATGTATGTATGTATGCTTAGTGAAGTTATTCGTGAATAGCAACTGGACATACTGGGCAGTCAGTTACAACGTATTTCATAGTGGCACATTTGATGATGTCTTCTTCACCGATTCCGCCCACGGCGGCCAATCTCACTGAGACTAGCCAACTGCGCAGGCGATACTCGTATTATAGTGCACAAGTGAACGCGCAGACACCAGGGCACTCTCTATTCCTTTCACTCCCAAATTCCGATGGGACGATAATTTAGTCAACGGCTTGACATGACCAACGACTTTACATGCTCTCAGCCGCGGGGGTGAAACGCAGCCCACCTCCCATCTCCGAGCTGTTATCGAGAATTTCTTAATAGAAAAACTCAATAAATAAACTTAGCCCGACTGGAACTCGAACCCCGGACCTGCGGATGTGCAGCTATACATGCTATATATACGTAATTCTATATATAATGAATATCATACTTGGCTTTTGGTACTTTAGATGGGATAACCTGGAAAACAAGAAAATCTATACCTGCGACATGGAGCCCGAGGGGAAAGTAAACGAGGACCTCGTGGCGTTCATGCGCAAGCGCAGCGAGACGGACGCGCCGAGATACACCGCCAGACTCAAAACTTATTTGGATATCAAGCAAAAGTTTGTTCAAAATACGTTTAGGCGTTATAGTTCTAAAATAATTGAAGTTTCATTTTATACAAGTCTGTAGTAAACAAAACGAAGGTATAGTTATTAAAGTAGGTATAGTTATAAGAATTAGAATTTTGTTGTTTATGCTTCAAATTTTTATAAGTAAATATTATTGAAATGATACATGATCATATTTCAAATAAGTTGTACATCATAGTGCAAATGCAGAAGAGGAGTTACTTCCACACCAAACTACGTATATATGTACTTGTTAGTATTCTTCTATCTTCTATTTGAATTCTTTTGATTTGATTCTTTAGACGTCGACGAGCCGCGGCGGCACGCCGGCCAGCAGTGCCCCATAACCAAAACAAGAAACCTATTGAAAGCTCGTAAGTCTTACTGTTTTTCTATATATATATGACATCATAAACTCTAAATTATAATATTTTTTCAAACCTTATTGCATCGAATAGCGTGCTTTTGGCACGTTGGGCACTTTTGGGATGTTTAAAAATCACTGAACTCGCGTGACCGTAACGTTCACATATAAGGAGGTTAGGATCAAAACCACAACATATCCATTTTTCTTAATATGGCAGAAATCTAAAAAAACTTAATAAATTGTGAGAACATGTTTTTGTATTTAAAAAAAAATACCATATTAATGTGGAGGTAAATCGGCAATTAAAACATTTTTTTGCTATTTGATTGCTCGCGCTGTTGTTGATTATTGGGCAAAGTTATTTTGGATAAGTGATGTTTTTGTGAAGACAAATCAGGATATGTGTTGTTTTGTACCTGCTGCATGGATAAGTGTGGTTTTGAATGTTACCTGTCTGGATATGTAGTGTTTTGTTTTAATTGTTATGGAAATGTGTAATTATAATAAACCATACAAAATCAACACTTTTATTATTTTAAAAAATCAAGTCTTTAATATCATCTCTATATCACACTCTTAATGTACCCGTGTCCGGCTCAATACAATCACATTCTTCATCATCAACCTTTTCTTCTTTATTTTGTGATAATGTATTTACTGTTTCACACAAAAGTCTTTTGTACCACTCTAATTCAGGCAGCGATTCCCAGTTTTCTCCAAATTGCTTGATAAGTAAATTTTTGACATCTTTTTTTTTGCTGTAGAAATAGGATGGTCCAAACTGCATTGTATCAAAATTCTGGCAGGCAAGAGCTTGTTTCATTGCCCTCAAACTTAAAATGCTTATAACAAGTTACTAAGATTTTTTTTGTAACTCCTCTCCGAGTTTGAGAGATAGTTTTTGTTATGTAAATCCGTTTCATGTCCCTGATTTCATCTACTTTTTTGTAATAATCAGACAGTTTTTTTATATCATATAATCGCCAGTTTACCCCGAGAACCTTGACTTCACCAAACTTTTCAAAATGCTCTTTGTATTGCGGGATAATTCGAAAATCAATTTAAAAATAAAAAAAATTGAACCCGGATATGTTGAGGTTTTGAACGATTTTTTCTTTTTCAACATCATTTTATTAGGAAAATAGTGCTGTTTTGAACTTGACTGATTTTATTAAATGGTAGAATTTATCTTTTAGAGCAAGAATCGAAAAAAAGCAAAAATGACAATAAATGGATAAGTTGTGGTTTTGATCCTAACCTCCTCAATTATATAGTTACTTAGTCGAGACATAAAGTACCTAACTTCAGCTATCCATATTAATCCATACTAATATTATAAATGTGACAGTGTGTTTGTTTGTCCTTCTTTCACGTCGAAACGGAGTTACGGATTGGCGTGATTTTTTGTGTGGAGATGGTTAGAGGGCTGGAGAGTGGCATAGACTTTTTATATATATACATATCATACGTTATAATAATATAACAACACGTTATAATACAATCCAAAAAATTATTTATGATCAGAATTACTTGAAACTTGGTAATAATGCTATTCAATAAAATTAAATAAATCGTGTTTTAGCATTTTTCGAAACTCATCAAATTCAACTTATTCAAATTTTGTATAAACTGCCTTTTTAGAGACTTGTTTGTAGTTTTAGCGCGAGCGAAGCCGCGGGTTCTGCTAGTATTTTATAAAATTCATATGTATTTATAAATTTGTTTTTATTATATAGCTAATAATCATTCTTTTTCATGTAAACCAGCGCAATAAATGGCAATTTTATTACTATATATATTCATAATTTGATAAAAATAATTTCTAATAAAAAATACGTATAAGATATTCCTTAAACAGGCCAAAAATAATGTTTACAAGTTTGTGAAGCTAAGTAGTTTTCACTTCTGAAGTGCGGTCCCCCGATTGACTTTTATTTTTATTTATCGTGACCCCTTGATATAGGTACCTATAACATGAGAAGAGAATTAATAAAAAAAATTAAAATTAGTTCGCAATAGTTAAACTATCGAGTAATAAATACAACATCAAATCGAGTCCCTCCTGGGCAAGGTAAAAGAATGTATGGAGCGTACCGTGTATAGTGTCTTAGTCTAAGCCGGCAGAGTTTAAAATAAAAAAAAAATTAACTTATACCATTGTTGCTTATTTACACACCAAAGCCCAAAAGCACAAGAAAAAGGTTTTTAGGTATGGTAATTTTTAAAATACTTAAGCAACTTTAATGGCACTTTCATTGGTCAAAACACGTTTCGGCCGAGAAATGTGTGTAATGTACTAGTTTTTTAACAGAAATTAGACTGAAATGGAATAAAAATTAACTTCATTCAATTAGATTTACACACTTTTGGATCGTCAATTACTTAAAAAAGCGTCAGTGTAGAGTCAGTCTGTGAGGAAGCTAACACTGCATCGGCTCGGAAAGCAGTTCTACTGAGAAGAGCCCAAGAGAAACTAAACTGTTGCTTTTTTGTATATCTAGTTACAGTATTTTTGATATAAAAATGTAAGAAGCCCACCGAGTCAGCTAAAAAAACTTGTACTATCGAATCAGTTTCCAAATCACAGCTTTAAAATGTTGCTCCAATAATTTCACCAGGCGCAGCGAGAAAGTTGTACACCAGCCTCGGTCGCTGTCTAGATCGCGTTCTGACGAGCCTGAGGACGCATGTCGAAGGCCGAGGCGTAGACGACGTCGTCGCAGGAGATCTTGCCGTGTGAGTGTCTCTATATATTTATGTAACTTTCTTTCGGAAAAGAGAGGGATTGAAAAGATAAAATAGATTTTTTTTAATTATAGTTCTGCTTTCCGTTTATATCGAGTTATTGAATAAGTACAAGTGCTTAAAACACGCACTTTTCCTTAGCGTACAGAAAAAAACATAGATCGCAGTATAATAATATGGTAAACAAGCCTACGATGTGTCTAACATAATGTCGTAACCCTCCTTTTTGGTTCGCCGTGGTCGGGTAAAAAGGAGCTTGTGGAAAGCATCACTTATTAGGGACTGGAGGGAATATTGTTTACAATAAAATTGTGTTAAATTAGGTCAAGCGATTTTTTTACTGCTGTAACAGGGAGGAGGGTTGTGTTTAATCTGTAGGTATGTATGTTCTTTACTTCTGCGAGTCTATCTATATGTATGTATGTCTCCTACTGCATAATACAATTATCCTACATCAATTTGTTATCTTTTTCAATTCAATTTACTTATTAATAACTTTAAAACGTGCGAAGTAGTTGTGTGAGTAGAATGGAGAAGAGACACGAAGGATTTTATTTTTGTTCACGTTTTACGCACTCTGTTTATTGTTTTTGACAATTATTTTATATGTAATACTTTCTTAGATGTACGCGTATATTTGTAATTTTAAATAAAACATTATTTTCCCATCTTTTGCGGATTTATTTTGATTTGCGCTTCACGACGTCTCCCCCGTGACCATGATTGCTGCAAAGCATTCGAAACGTCGAAAACCAAAAATCAAAATAAATTTACAAAAAATTCCAAAAGATAGTTTTATTCAAAACTTGCTGCTCGAAAGACCTATCAAATCAAGTGAAATTAAAGGAATTGGTTTTACGTTTTTCCGGACATTTTTTCCAATTTATCTCTTCATACGGACCTTCTTCGCACTTTAGCAAATATTAAAAAAAAATAGGCGAATTAGTCCAGTTGTTCTCGAGTTTTTTATTTATTTATATACCTACTTAGATATCTTAAATGTGTGTGATTTGAATATGTATGACGATACGTTTGACTTAGTTTGTAGTGAACCTACTTGCTGTGCCAGCGGTCGCGGGTTTGAGTCCCGCTGGGGGCAATCATTTGTGTGAGAGTAAGAATGCTTATACTACAATCATGGGTGTTTATATTTATAATAAAATGGAAAAAATATATATGTGTGTACAGTTATATATGAGTAGTGTATCAACTATCTGTTATCCATAACACAGGCCTCGTAAGCTTACCATGGAACTAGATGGTGCTGTGTTAATGTCCCAACATAATTAGTTGGCTCACTATTACAAGGTTCTATGTGTCATTAGCTATAGTTTTTCAAAAACAAACCACTAGATAGCGGCACTATAACTATAAAATATTCAATTTTAAATAGTTATATGTTGTTTTTTTACGATAACAAAATAACGAAGTTCTATGTAAAAATGACTAAACTTCATTAAAATTAACATAGAACCTTGTAATAGTAAACCAACGAATTATTATGTATAACAGCGTCGCAGTGGTCGCCGTCGCCGCCGCCGCCGCCGCCGCAGCTGTCGCCGCAGACGCAAGCGTAGCATGAGTAGACGCAGACGCAGACGCAGTTGTCGGCGTCGCAGGACGCGCCGTCGTCGTCGTTGCCGTTGCGGTTAGCCTTGGACAATGTGACGATCTGCATTCGATATCGATTATAGAAAACTTGACGTATGGAAGTGACATAAACCATTAAAGTAAACCATTTCGTCCATAACTAAATTACTTACATTAAATTTGAGGACCCATTTAAATATTTTAGATTAATTTGCACGAAATATTTCATTTGGTTTTTAAGTTTTTAGTGTTTCGCGGGGATTGTTTGGATTTTTAGGTTCAAGATGTTTGAATGCCGTGATGTTTTCGGTAAGGATGAGAATCTTTGGGAACCAAAAAGCTAAAAGTTTTTTGGTCAAATTTCTTGTCATGCCAATGTCAAAACGCATATCATATATAACATAATACCATCATGCTAAAGATTTGAATTGAATTAAATATGATTAAGCTAATTATATTTATTATACTAGAAGGTTGAGAACACGTCACATCAAGCGATGGTAATGTCACTGCCATATTTTTTTAGTTTCTATTAGCGATATCGTGTAGTGAGTCAACTTGTCTAAACAGGATCATGTCTAGAGGCAGGGTTCTTGTATGTAGAAAAATACCGGCCAGTGTTTTGTCTATTATTTTTGTTTTTTTTTCTGTTTGTTTTTTTCTTTTAATTTTCTTATTAAATTTTTTATTGAAATTTTGGAGTTTTTCTTTTTATTTTTTCTGGTTAGATATTTCTATATACCTAGTGAAAGTTTAGAATGATCTGTTTATTAAAGTAGTGTACTTTTTAAGTTTAATGTGCCAGTATTATAACTGATGTCCTTACTAATATTTTAAATGTACGTGTATTTCTCGATTTGTACTGGTTTCCAGCAGACCAGCGAGAGATTTTTTTATTATAGTTCGGCTAGAAAGGCTCAAGAATATTTTCTAGCACAACCCTAGAAAAATGTTTAGTATTTTTAGAGAAGATCTCGTGTCTTCCTTACAATACTTGACGCTGGCAGAATGTATTGCGTATGTTAACGCAACTCTTAAGCCATTAAAGAAAAAACGAAAAAATAAGATCTAGGTATTACTTTAATTTCGTATTTAATTTTGCCGTTATTTTAGGATCGATTTTTAAGTTAACAATTAAAAAAAACAAATTTACATTCATCGATCAAAAACTACTAGATACACAATCCCATGCAAAAGTTCTCTTCTAAAACTGACACCAATTGTTTATTGTAATTATGTATTTTCTTAAAAATTAAAAGCGCGCTCAAATGTTCAAATAAGCGCTCATTCGGTAAGTCATTTTCTGCCGCTGATTGTGTATCTAGTACTTTTTTGACTTTTTTGTTTCTATTATTGCACCCACCAACGACGCTCGTCTCGAAATAAGGGTAAGAAAAACAAAAACAGATAAAAAATATTTTTTTCATTAATATTTACAATTGAGCAATTCTATTTATAATAGTTTAAGATCAAACATTGATCATGATTTCATCTAGATTTTTCCTTTTAATATCAGGAACAGTAACGTCTTCATGTGGCTTTCCAACTGGAAGGAGTAGTTCCAACCTTTCGTTTGGGGGTCTCGATAGGAGATCCCTTAAACGAGTGTTACAATTAAGGGGTGTTGATGTCAAAGCAACCAGACCGCAATACTGGAAAGAAAAGAATTTAATATAAATAATTACTTTTTAAACCTCAGAATAATATTATAGACAGTGAACATGAAGCCAAACAATATTTTAAAATAGTATACAAATGACAATTTGTATACGTATGTAAATAGAAAATTACAAGTATAAATTAAAAATTTAAAAAGCTACCGACCATCTTGGACCGATTTTCATCAAACATAGCTAAGAACACTCCCGACAAATTCACCTTACAAACAAAGAAAAACAAAATCAAAATCGATTCATCCGTTCGGGAGCTACGATGCCACACACTGGCACGTCAAACTTATAATATCCCGTCGTTTTTGCGTCGGGGGTTAGTAAAAATAGTTAAGGGCTTTTATTATAAGCTAATATTATATATCTATCTCTATCTCTCCTTCAAGGGGAAGAGAACTAATGCTGTATTAAAATTTAACTGATACATATATAAACCATTATTCTTTAAATAAAGTAAACAGTTTGTATCGCAAAATCGAGAGAAGTAGCTTATACAGCAAATCAGTAATCACATTACTATTTTTGACTTTGACATTTCAATGTAATTCTTTAGTCTGCCATAAGTTTTGAGCTAAATAGTTATACCGACAAAAGAAATAGTAGTTGTTTTACCACTTAGGGTTAAACTTTTTTTCTTGAAAATAGAATCATAGATAAATTATCTTTCATAAATTAAAAAAACAATATGAAATATGAACTTTACGAGTAATTAAGTATAAGAAGGGAATGGCGGAGCTCGTTCGTTGTGTGGATATTATAATAATTGATGCAAAGTCGAAAATACGGGTTTTCTAATTAATGTTTATTTAGTTTTACATAATGCATTTCAAAACACGCCAATAGTATACCTGTATTGCAGCCAGAAGAAACCCGCAAGCGATCGCTACACTAATCTCATTATAGTAATGCATCTTCTTCTTTCCGTCTGCCCGCCAAGAGTACGTCTGTCTAAACACCAAAATGAGAGCTGGTGCATCTGTGAGATACGGCTTAATATGATTCGTCGCAAAGGGCTTGAGATCAGTCACCCATTGTCTTGACATTCTTCTAGAATAATTAATTTCTTCTTCATCTTCTATTATATTTCTAATGGCTAATTTTACTTCTGGATCTTGGACTACTACGAACGTCCAGGGTTCTGTGAAAGCTCCGGAAGGGGATGTGCCTTAAATTAAAATGAAAAAAAAAACTGAAAACTATAAGAAAAACATATTGTAATCATTGAATATTTAACTTTGTTTATAAACATGGATTTTTAATATTTTCTTAGAAACCCAAAGATATCATTAATTTTGCAATGATCCGCTCCGCTTATTAATTAGATTTAACACTTAGTAAGGTGTTCAAATTAGAAAATCGTAACTATAAAAACTTAGTAATTCGATAAATCTATTGAATGAATTATATTTGGTTTTCATAATAGTTTCTTAGATTTACGCGAATATTTGACATTTTAAATAAAAAAAAATCGACTTATTTTGATTTTTGGTTTCCGACGTTTCGAATGCTATACAGCAATCATAGTTACGGGAGAGACTAAGGTTTAAGATGTCTCAAAGGCAATATATAGTTGTTACAGACAACCTACCCACAAAATAACAAAATGAATTCTACTCTTACATTCAATTCTTAAAATTTTAAAACTTTTACTAGCGGTTCGCCCTTGCTTCGCTCGGGTTCGTCTCTAGAAAAACAAAAACAAATTCGTCCTCGGGAACCGTATATTTTTCCGGGATAAAAAGTATCCTATGTGTTATTCCAGACTATAATCTAACTCTGTGCCAAATTTCATCCAGATCCGTTTTGCCGTTCGGGCGTGAAAGAGTAACAAACATCCATACTCACAAACTTTCACGTTTATAATATTTATACAGATTAGTTTAAGATCGATCCGGACAAAATAAGTCTACCGGAAAAAAATCTCAAAATTCTAGTACAAAATCATGTTTGCTTTGTAGTTATAAAACACACTAACAGAAAAACTGGCAGCGACTACGTTATATATGTATTATTTAATAGCAATTATAAATTATGATTTCCGAGAAGGTTCTCACCTCGCACCACAAACATAGACGCGCATAAACATAACATACGTAATCTCATAGCAACTAGTTATTATAATCGTTCGCAGTTTAGCTTCGTTTTTTGTGCATGTGAAGATCATAAGATAATTTTATCATTAGTCGAGACTTTAGTTTTATTTTAATTTTTATTTGCACAATTTACAGCATGTAACTATTATATTATTAATATAAATTTTATCTGTATGTCTGTTTGGGTATAGCAGTTTAATGACTCAGCCGATTTTGATAAAATAAGCTAAATCCGAAAGGAAATATATATTTTTTTGAAGTATAGAAAAATCATATTACATAGACATACAAACTTAATGATCTACCACACTAATATTATATATATGTGGAAGTCTGTAGGTAAAGTTATAGACTATAAATTGTCATATTTGTTGTAAAGCATTAAAATCTAAACTAAACCGCGAAAAAACTCGAAAAAATATACTTAAAATATCAAATATTCAAATCAAATAATCAAATCTATACATATAATAAAATTGTAACAAAGCCGAATCTATACATTAAATATTTTTTGGAAAATCTTATTGAAATGGACATTATTATCGATATAAAGGCCGAATCTATAGATTTTAGAATTTTTGTCTGTCTGTCTTTTAAAGCATCACAAAAAACAGCTGGAGGGATTTTCATGAAATTTGGTACGGAGATAGCTAGTAATCTGGGTCAACATATAGGATACTTTTTACCGCGGGAAAATATCTCATTTCTGAGAAAAAATACAAAAACTGCATTGTAAGAGTATACTAATATGTAAAGTCTAAGAATTTGTTTTTGGTAATCTGAACGCGGGCGGAGCCGCGGGCAATGCTAGTATACTTTAAATATCAAATATATTACTTGATATTTATTACTTCTTAAATATTATTTATATTTATTATTCTTAAATATTAATATATTAAATATTATACTTTCTTAGATTTACGCGAATGTTTGACATTATTAAATAAAACTATCTTTTCGGATTATTTCGCGGATTTATTTAGATTTTTGGTAAATCCGCGAAATAATCCGAAAAGATAGTTTTATTTAATAATATTAAATATTATTACTTCTAGCCGAGCCTTTTTTGCAGAAATAAGAGCCGATAAAATATAAATAAACGGACAAACAAATATTATTTTCTATGTATAGAAAAACCCGTATAACCAAGATATTGACACATTTAAGAAACGTAATAAAATTTATGAGTGAATTATGTTTAAAAGTTGAAGATTACTTCCTAACATTCGTAAAAAAGTCGAGAAACATCGAAGGAAGTTAATATCAAAATCTATTTTCAGTGTTATTTATTATTACGCACTCGTAATTTATAGAGGTATTAAAGTATCTCGGCAGCGTTTTTCTGTGGAAGAAGACTAACAACGGGTTTCTCATATACTCGTATTTTACATTACAAAATGTATGTAAACTTCTTATATATAAATATACAAAGCTAGCGTTTGCTTGTAATTACGCCTACATTTCTTATTTACCTACACTAATATATTTTTCTAGTTCTACGTTTCTGAAACGAACTGCTAAGGTGTGTAAACCTTTCCAGCATCTGTGGCATAGGTGGCAGGAAACCTGCCACCTATAATTTAAGTACCTTCAAGGCAAGAGTGAATGGGCATTTTCTAGGCAAGCGCGCTCCAACCTAGACCTCATCAGTGCTTCCCAGCGCTGATTGTAGTCAAACGCAAGCCTATCGCACAATAAAAAGAAACACTAATATTATAAAGAAGTAAAATTTGTATGTATAATGTGTGTAATTTTTGAAACTACTGATCCGATTTAAAAAAATACTTTACTAATATATACTATATTAACGTCGAAAGCTATATGCTATTTTTATTTCAATAAAAATGTGTTAAGTGTTAACTGTCAAAAATCATAATAACATTATTGCTGTCAGAAAATAATCGCGGTTGAGTTACTCTGTCGGCTTTGGTCACGCCAACACCCGTTCATAGGAAGGGTGCTCGCTAGTATATTTATAAAGGTTCCTTTCTTAGCAGATTTTTGCACCCTAAAAATCAGCAAAATTTCTAATTATACTTCATTCCCTATTTCCCCAAGTACATACATAACTACCAACAGCTTTGACTAACAATAGTCATCATTCTTAATAAAAAAAAATATTTCCAATCCACTGTGACATAAATACTCCCCGACCTTTTTTACCCGTTTAGAGGTCGAATTTCTAAAAATCTTCTGTTAGTGGATACTTATTTCCTTGAAGAATCTACCTCCAAAAAAATTCTAAGAAATACTCTCTGATATATCGTGATTAACTCCTTTGAAGTAGTATATAATGTATCTAAGTGGCAATTTTCTTTATATGATAGAAATAAATTTCATTTTAGACCCCGTGGTCTTGTATGTACGATATCAGTCAGTTAATGCTAGTTTTTTTATGAACTAGCGACTCACCCTCGCGCCGCTCGGGTTCGTCCCTAAGTACGTTTTAACGGTTAGTATGGATTTCTCAGAGATGAGATATTTTCCCGCAGTGAAAAGTGACCTAAATGTTGACCCGGACAACCAGCTATCATCATACCAAATATTATCAAAATGCGTCCAATGCTTTACTCGTGATGCGTACCCAGACAGACACAGACATACAGACAGACAAAAAATCTAAAAACTATATTCAGCCTCTGTATCGATAATTCCTATTTCAATAAGATTTTCCAAAGATACATAATGTACAAATTCGACTTAATTAGAATTTTATTATATGTATAAACTAGTATAGTATTATATGATCTATGGTATAGATAAAAGCTATCAACTTCAACTTCATATATATTCACCTGCAGTCTTCACAATATTGTCGAGCACTTCTTGAGGAATTGGTTCCGTGCTGAAACTCCTGACCGTCCGTCTCTTTGCCATCAAGTCGTAATACTCTCTTGATCTCTCCAAAATTTTCTCCATGGGCCTTGCAAGAGGTTTGTAGGGAATGTGAGGAGTATCTTCTGGTATAGCTGATACGAGATAATCTGGATCATCATCATCATCTTGTTGTTCTTTTTCTGTAAGTTAATTAATTAATTATTGTTTTGAAAATCACAGTACTATAATTATATAGGTGAAAATTTGTATGTGTATGTATGTTTGTTATTACTTAACGCTAAAAGTGATTGACGGATTTGGATAAAATTTATTAAACGGCAAATAATGATTTGCAGTAACATATAGGCTACTTTCAGTAATAACATTCGCCAAAAGATGGTGCTAAGTGTAAATAATATTTTACATACAAATGGCATGGATGGATGCGTTCGAGCAAAGCGAGGGTAAGTTGCTAGTTTCAAATTAATTACTTCATTATTTGAACTAAATACATTCATAGTGTGTGTAAGACTAAGTACTAAAATAGGTCATGTTATCAAGTGTCAAGAACTATTAAGAAACTATAATAGATTATTCTAACGACCTATATACATGCATATTATGTATAATGATTATTCTAAAGACTTGCATGTGAATTTAAACTAGTTCAAAACGTGCGAACGTACTTACACGTTTTTACCGTTTTCAAAAAATGTAGGTACAAAAGTCGGTTATTTGCATGTGAATGATTCTTTTTTTTATTTTAAAAGTATCTTACGTTATGGTTATATTGTTTTAAATACTTTAATTTTTGTACTTCATATTTAGTTAAAAAATTCTAGATTTTAATGCTTAAACCGCTTAACAAATTTCGATAAAATTTAACACGGACATAAATTGCTATCCGGAGATGAATATAGGTTATAGCTTTGATCCCGCCCTATTTACTATGCAAGCGTAAAAAACTATGTAGTTACATATAAAATTATCCTACATCCAAATCAAATCAAAATTATCTTTATTAAATATTTTTATAAGATCTTTTTGAATCATCAACTTAATTAATTAAAGAGTTGTTAGTGTTGTTAGTTAATAAAAGGATAAACTCAATTTTAATGCCTCTGTGGGTAGGAAAATTGAGTTTAGGGGTGATTGGCTCATTGGATCGGTCTGTCTTCTTGTAAAAGGTTTTAAAATAGTTGTCTGGCGAACATATATAAAAATACGGCCGACGGAAAGTGTCTGGGAGTATTGACGACTATTTTTAACGATATTGTCTAAAATATACGTGAAAATCAGCTTAGAGAATGTACGTGAGGTAAGTAATGTTTTGAGGTACCTTGGTTACCTGATACCTAGAAATTGGCCGTCTAACCAAGTTAGCAGGTAGGCATGCATCTTAGTACATACTAACACTACCCAATCGTCCACATTTCGTTCGTAAGAAAATACGTAACGTCTGGCGGCCCTGGGATCTTGGACTATAATGCTAAATCGAGTCACACTCGACTTGCTTTTATAATTTTGTAAGTAACATTGGAGTTTTATACAATAATCGCATCTTGTTTTTATAATCGTTAAAATAGAGCTTCAATAATATGAAATTTGTGAAAATTTTAACCAGTTATTTATTAAAGTTGAAAAGCTTTTAAAAGATAGGACAGACGGACAGACAAAGTACAGATCAGTTCCGACTGAACCCTTTCAGTATGGAACCCTAAATACTTAGAATTTACTTCATAAAATAACATAATTATTAGCTTTCCATATAACAAAGACTAGACCGGATACCTAGAATACTGGTCTCATAGTTAACGCATACTGCCTCGGTGGTGTAGTGGCTAGCATGTACGGCTGCACACCCGGAGGTCCTGGATTCGAGTCCCGGGTCGGGCCAAGTTTAGTTATTGAGTCTTCCTGTTTAGTAAGTCTCAGTAACAGCCCGGAGTTGGGGAGTTGGCGGTGTTTCACCCCCGTGCCTCGGAGAGCACGTAAAGCCGTCGGTCCTGCGCCTTAACTCTCACCGGTCGTGTCGAGTGGTCGTCCCACCGGAGTATGAGAGTGATAGGAATAGAGAGTGCACTTGTGTCTGCGCGTACACTTGAGCACTATAATATCTCCTGCGCAGTTGGCTAATCTCATTGAGATTGGCCGCCGTGGCCGAAATCGGCTAGGAGAAATAATAACATCAGTGTGCTTATTCATATATTTTTTTATACACAGTAAAGGAAATTCGCCATTCTAAAGATAATATTAAAAATGTATAAGAGCATTCGTAAAATAATGTGTGGGAATATTCGTCATTTTAATAAAACTATCTTTTCGAATTTTTTCGCGGATTTATTTTGATTTTGGGTTCCCGAAGTTTCGAATGCTTTACAGCTATCATTGTCACGGGAAAGACTAAGGATTTAGACGTCTCAAAGGTTATTCTGTATACCTATAGTAACTGTCATACTATAGTTAGACACATAGATATACATAGATAGACAGACAGACACAAAATTATAAATGATTTTAAAAAATCAAAAATAATTAGGTACCCTACCATATTTGTGATTTTTATACAATTTCAATAAGTTTTAAAATTAAATGTATCATAGAGATCTTTGCTAAGGTCATGTGTAATATTAGTATTTATTATACAATATGCTAGGTCTAATCAAACGCAATGTTATATTCCAATTTTTTTTACATTAACATTTGAAATTTCCGTCGATAAGAGAATCTATACTAATACTATAAAGAGACAGAGTTTGTCTGTTTGTTTGGTTGAACGCGCTAATCTCAGGAACTACTATTTCGATTTAAAAAAATCTTTTTGCATGAGATTGGATGGCCAGTTTTTGCGATACAGGGATGTTCTTAAGCGACATCTTAATGCGTGTCACATCGCTCCAGAAAGGTGGGAAGAACTTGCGCAACAGAGACCATATTGGCGCAACTCTATCAACAAGGCTGTTACAATCTTCGAAGAAAGTCGTTTAACACACTTGGATGCAAAACGCCTTCATAGAAAGACCCGACCAAAGCCTTCCTATGTCTATACTTACAACTCTACAGGTCAGTTGCATTGTGCGCCCTGCAACAGGATCTTCAAAACAAAGTCTGGGTTCGCCAGCCACATTCGCTCTCATATCCGGAGCTAACAAGGTTCGCCGTTGACGGATACGTCAAGGAGGACATCATCATCATACCATCCCGAAAAAATGTACGGTTCCCGTGGGATAGATTTGTTTTTGTCTAGGGACGAACCCGAAGTAAAGCAAGGGTGAGTCATTTTATAATGTTTTTATTTTATACATAACTTTCAAGGTTTGTTAGATAATTAATAATTATGCATAGTTCTGTAATATGAGAATATCCGCTCATGTTTTAAAACTACGTATTGTATTTACCTACTAAAGTGTTTTTACAAAAACAACAAATGGGATTGTTCTTTATGAAGCATTCGCCACTTTTTATTATCCTTATTGATTTACCAAATTAAAACGAGTTGTTTCACTTTAAAAGCATCAGAACATATTTCCCAAAACTCAATCTTAAGGCAATAAATATACTTATGTATAACTAGCGACTTACTGTCTCTTCGCTCGGGTTCGTCCCTAGGTACGTTTTAATTTTTTTGAGCAGAACCCTAATTATTTTTCTAAAATAAAACTAGCCTAAGTTACTCCTTATCATTTATAATATCAGCTAACTGCCAGTAAAAGTCCCGTTAAAATCAGTCCAGCCGTTTCGGAGATTAGCCGGAACAGACAGACAGACAGACGGACGGACGGACTGACAGATAGACAGACAGATAGATAAAAAAATTAAAAGTTGTGTTTTACTTATAAGTACCGTATATAATTTCATATGCATTTTATATATTACTTTTAATGTGTTTTGTAGTTTTTATTTTATAATTAACTGAAAGCTCGCTTGTGACTTTCTTGTATTAAATTTCTATAATATTCTATTATATTTGCTTGCATGGTAATCGGGAGGGGGAGAAAGTTCCCCACGACGCAGTCCATGTCAAATGTCAAATTTCATCGAAATCTGTTCAGCAGTTTAGACATGAAAGAGTCACACGGGAGTCATTTAAATAATGTCACATCAAATCGTTTAGGACAGAGCTGCAGCCAATAGCTAGTATTAATGAAGAATTTTTTTATTCATATTTACTAGCTATTGCTACAAAATGATGTTAACCATTTAGTATTCACATATAATCCTTTGCGATGATCTTTAAGGTCTGAAGTCATAATATGTTAATTATTTACACGATTATTCTGGTTCCCATCACTATTTGTATTGAATTAACCAATCAGCGGGAATTTCAACCCACCTCCCCCGTGACGCTGACCCCCCGTGATGCAGAAGTACATAAATTAGGCGTCTATCGGGCTTAGTGGTCGTTGATTCCAAATTATAATCTATCTCTGTGCCAAATTTCATCCAGATCCGGTCAGCCTTTCTGGCGTGAAAGAATAATAAACATGCATCCATCCATTCATGGATGGATTTGTTTACGACACGTTTGGCTCAGTTAGTAGTGACTTTACTAGCTATGCCAGCGGTCGCGGGTTCGAGTCCCGCTGTGGGCATTTTATTTGTTGATGAACACGAATGTTTGAACTCCACTCCTGGGTGTTTATATTTATAATATGTATGTATTTAAAGTTATATAATATGTGTAGTGTATCAATTGTCCATAGCAGAGGCCTCGTAGCTTACCATGGAACTAAATGGGGTTGTGTGTTAATGTCCCGACATATTTATTTATTTATTATTTATTTACTCTTAAAAGTTAAGCGATAGCGGATGTAGAATGTTATTTTTTAAGTACACAATAAATATAATAGGTAGGTATAATATAATACAGATTGTTTATTCAATAAAAATATAATTTCTTCTTTCTAAGCGCAATTTAAAACCAATTTGTTTTGCATTTATTTAATGAGTTCCGGTAGTGGCTTAGGTAGGTACTTATAATATACTAGCGGCTCACCCTCGCTTCGCTCGGGTTCACCTCTAGAAAAGCACAAACATATCTATACCACGGGAACCGTTCATTTTTCCAGGATGAAAAGTAACCTGTTGTTTGACCGGCAATATAAGGTATCAGAATGCCAAATTTTACTAAATTAGGTGCGTAAGTTGTTGTGTACTAAGCTGTATAAGTTACTATAGTTTTTTAACTATCCCACGGAAA